AACAACAACAACAACATCCAGCTTCTGTGACTCCCGAAAAATGGGGCCCATGAGAATTTGAAATTCTGTTCTGCATTTTCCCTCTTTTCATTGAGGATTCTTCTATGAAATCTTTGTTGATCTACATGTTCAGTAATGGTAGCTAGACACCCTCCAGTTCTGGTTTTCTGGCATAGGAGGCCCATATCCTTCTCCTAGTGTTAACTCTCCTTCAGCTGTTGCTCCAGGTAAATAGATACCACTTGTTCTACCTTGGAGGACCACTCAGGCACTGTGCAACAAACTAGAATACAGAGCAGAAACACTAAACATATTATTGGACCAAACAACTGGGATACCCCATAAAACTGTGATTTCCCCAAACCAAGGAACCCTCAAACCAAGAAACCAAATCCCATGAGCTGTGTGGTTGTACATAAGCAGCCTCAGCAGTTACTTTTTAATTTTTGTTGTAAATGTGTCTGTCACACAACTTTTGCCAATTCAACTTTACAGGTGTAAAACTTGTTGACAGCAGTTACAATAATTGACAGTACAATCCTACCTTTAATCAGTATAATTTTCCCACCACCATTAACCCTGCTCTCCTCCCTCCATCCCATTAAGTAACCATTATTACACTTTAGGAGTCCTGGTGCGGCATTGTATGATAAGCAATGGACTACTAATCCCAAGGTCAGCAGTTCAAATCCACTAGCTGCTCCTCAGAAACGCTATATAGGATCACTGTGAGTCAGCATTGACAGCATCAACATTAAACTTTGGTCTCTATACATTTGCCTTGCTTTGTCTTTTTATATAAGCAAGTCATATATTTATCATTTTGTGATTGATTTATTTCACTCAGCATAATGTCTTCAAGTTTCATCTATAATATAGCATGTATCAAGACTTCCTTTCTCCTACTGGCTTAGTAGTATTCCATTGTATGTATGGATCACATTTTGTTTATTCATTGATATGTTTATGGACATTTAGGTTGTTTCCTCCTTTTGGCTATTGTGAATAGTGTTGCAATGAACATGGTATACAAGTCTCTTTTTGAGTCTCTGTTTCCAAGTCTTTTGGGTGTATACCTAGGAGTGTGCAGTGTTATGGATCTCTTTTATATGGCCTTTCTAGCCATGATCTTGTAACTTACACCAAATGATTGGGTGGAGCTATGCAGATAAGGGAGTCCTGGTGTAATGCTGTGGGCTAATGCATCAGACTGCAAAGCTGTTTAAACTGCAAGGTTGGCTGTTCAAGCTCATTAGCTGCTCCTTAGAAACCCTGTACAGGGTCACTATGGGTTGGAATCAACTTGACAGTACTTAACAACAACAACAACAACAACAACAATGCAGATAAGAGCTTGTGACCCATGAAGGGAATTAGACAGCTTGATAACTATGCAAATAAGGTACACACCCTGCATAGTCTGGACCATGCAAATAAGGTATATGGAACCCTAATCAAGGGATTGGTTAGTTTTGTGATCCACTAGAGGAGTCCTGGTGTGGCAATGTAGGATAAGCACTGTACTTCATGGTCAGTTTGAACCTCAAGGTCGGTGGTTCAAACTCACCAGATGCTCCTTGGAAATCTTATACAGAGTCTCTATGAGTTGGGGCCAACTTGACAGCACTTAACAACAACAACATGATGGCTTAAAAGAAAGTTAGTCTTCGAGGAAAGGGGGAACCTGACTACCACCTAGAAGAAGAGACAAGAGCTGAGTGCCTGCACTGGGAACCTCTTAGACCCAAGAGACAGAGAGCCGGCAAGAGATGGCAGGAAGCAGCAGCAAAAAAAATGGGGTCGGAGAGAAAGAGATAAGTGATTTGCTAGCAGAATGGGGTGCTGTCAAGAATCTGGCAGAGGTAGACTTGCAAACCCATGGAGCTGTGTGCACCTTTGGACCAAGGCTTACTGGCAGAGTGAAGTGCCTCTCTGCACTTACTGTTGTTGTTGTTGTTAAGTGCCATCGAGTCGGGTCCGACCCATAGCGACCCTGTACAGGGTTTCCAAGGGTGTAAATCTTTACGGGAGTAGAAA